CAAAATATATCAGTCATCCTGTTACTTTCCAGTCCAGCCCAGAACCATAGGAATGCAGCCTAAATTGTTTTAATGTCTCTAGTGTTACATCCATCCCTATAGCCAACTGAGAATAGAATAGAATAGAATAGAATTCTTTATTGGCCAAGCGTGATTGAACACACACAAGGAATTTGTCTCCGGTGCATAAGCTCTACATAAAAGCAACAAGTGATAATCATAAAATACAATCATCATAAATCATATATACAACACTCTGTGATAGTCATAGGGTATATGAGTCAGTCTCCTTCTTCTACTTAGTTCAGTCTACATTGAAACACTGAATCAAAGGCTGACCATAGTCACTCAGCTTAATAGCAATCTATCTAAAATATTGATACATCTTTTCTTTAGGATTCTTATTAAAACCATAGTTTAATATTGGCTGCTCTTCCTCTCGGAATTTTTTATAGAGGGAAAAATATTGGAGGAATTCAAAGTAACATTCAGATTTTTCTAAATTTAAGCTAGCTCCTTGAGAAGACCAATAGGAACTGTAAAATATGCCTCAGAAGATGACAATTTTCAGAGCTTTTTCAACTGCACACTTGATACATGTGGTTTCATTTGCCCAATAATAAGAGGTGGTCTGAGATGAAAGAAAAAAAATACAAAAACAATGGAGAAAAGCACAAGCCTATCATTAATAGTCCTGATTCACTAATACTTTTAACTCCAGGAAGTATCTTGATGGGTAAACTTCAGATCAAACTCTAAACCACTTCTTTTGCTGGAATTTACTGATGAAAAGAGGAATTATTCACTGTGAAAGATTTTATCCTTGGAGACATCTTGCATTCTAACATATGCTATTCTCACTTTGTCCTTCCCATTACCATTTTATTTACTGTATCTCAACAAAGAAAATATTTAGTTTTTCAACGTTCCTGAAATAATTGATACATAACTCTAAAAACATTTTAATTTAAGGAAGCATATTGTGCTTACATGCTTCTCCTGAAAAATATAAAATATGGTCACAATTATTCTGGCAACTTCTCTGTTCCACTTATACTTCCATCTTTTTTTAAAAAAATACTGCAATGTTTTCTGACTCATCAGTGAAAGGGGATATAATACTGAAAAAGGAGGCTATTATTTCTCTACTGTCAAAGAAAATACCTGCAGCTTATTCAAGGATGGCAGATACAACTTTGTTTTGATCAAACTCTCATAAAATAACAACAACAATGATAGATAGGTAGGTAGGTAGGTAGATAGATAGATAGATAGATAGATAGATAGATAGATAGATAGATAGATAGATAGATAGATAGATAGATAGNTAGATAGATAGATAGATAGATAGATAGATAGATGATAGACAGACAGACAGACAGATGAATGATAAATGAAAGAGAGACAGAGACAGAGAGACAGAGAGACACAGAGAGAGGAGATTGTGTGTGTGTGTGTGTGTGTGTTTGTGTGTGTCCGAAAGGCCATTGTGATATTTGAATCAACAAGTTTTACTGAAGACTTTTTGATTTGTTCAGAATATTTACTTACTGACTCACTGACTTACATATTTACTATGTTTCTATACTGCTGGGTTTATCAAGACTTACAGCAGTTTACCAATAGCTGCTAAATATTTATGATACAATAATTTAAAATGTTAACAGTAAATAAGCTGATTGAAACAATTAGTACAATCTAAACATAATTTGAGAACCAATTTGATCTAGTGATTAAGGCTAGCAAAAAAACAGACCAGCAGTTCTAGTCCACTTTAGGCATGAAGCCAGCAAGGTAATCTTAGGCCAGTCACTTTCTCTCAACCCTATAAAGAAGTAAATGGCAAACCACTTCTGAAAAACCTTACAAAGAAAAGTGCAGGGATTGTCCAGGCACTCTCTAAGAATCAGACACAACTGAACAGAAGAAAAATACCCCATCATTTACATTAAAAGATAAACCATTCAGATCCATGACAATTGTAATAAACAGAATAGTATTAATAATTATGAAAATTACTAATTGGTTGCTAGAAGAACTCTGTCCTCTCCTGGAAACATTAAGAGTTGAAGCCAGTTCTACATGTTAATGGAGGCTATTATATGAAATTGAGGCCATAACTGAGAAATAGCACCTCCTGGTCACTCTGCCCTTCACATTACAACCAGTGGCTTTTCTGTGATCATAATACAGGTCAGATCAATTCAGGAAATAAAGGATATTATCTATTCTTGTTTATTGTTTTGTATTTTTGATTCAATAATGTGGCAGCATTTCATTTTGGATGGAGGGATGTAGGAGAGGTAGATGAATCTCAGGACTTATAAATTCTGTCCTTCCATTGGGCACATCCTACTAAGCATATGTAGCGATGCGGTGGCTCAGTGGCTAAGACACTAAGATTGTCGATCAGAAAGGTTGGCAGTTTGGCGGTTCGAATCCCTAGCGCCACGTAATGGAGTGAGCTCCCGTTACTTGCCCCAGCTTCTGCCAACCTAGCAGTTCGAAAGCATGTAAAAAATGCAAGTAGAAAAATAGGGACCACTTTGGTGGGAAGGTAACAGGATTCTATGTGCCTTTGGCATTTAGTCATGCCGGCCACATGACCACGGAGATGTCTTCAAACATGCCGGCTCTTTGGCTTTGAAACTGAGATGAGCACCACCCCCTAGAGTGGGGAATGACTAGCACATATGTGCTAGGGAACCTTTACCTGGACTAAGATCCAGCTAAATCCTCAGTCTTGGCAGACAGTTTTGGAAACATTCAGTGCTTTCTAAAGCCAAATGAGATTCCCACTGAAGTGACCAGAACATCTGGATTTTTCTATATAGTTTTGTAAATAACTGCATACATTTATTCCATAGCACTGTTGTAGAAAGGCAGACAGTGTGTCTACAAAAAAGAAAACAGAAACCACTGTTTTGCTTATATTTCCCCATATATGGAAGACACTGGAGTGGAGAAAAGGAAACATGACTTATAGATCTACTTTTAATCAAAGGATATGTTGTATCATTCATAGTGCTTTGGGACAAAATGCAGAGAATTATATTAAGCTTTGCTGTACATTGTTCTTTGCTGTTACGTCTATCTCATCTGAAGCTCTCCTTTGAAGAGCTTTGATAGCCACTGAGTGAACGAGAGAATCTTGTGTTTTGCTTGTGTATCTTATTTTTACCAACTAGTCATTTTTCTAAAGTCCTTTTTTCTTCTTTCCAAGTTTATCTTCCCAACCCCTATTACTGAAGTTCTGTATTCATTTTTTTTGAACTGAAAATGAAAATTCAAGGAAAAAGCAGAAATAAGAATATTTTATCTTGGCCATTTCAAATTTCCTCCTGTTCCTCTCAGATTTATTCCTTATTTTCATTGCGTGGAAAGTAACGTTCAGAATGAGAATGGTTATATAAGGTCAGAAATGTTGTAGAACTCCAAGATCTCTAGGGAAATGTAAGAGGTTGAATACATACCTCTGAGCATGTACAAAACGCAAATAGATTAGAACCAAGCACCTGCATAAAATAAGTTGCATATAGACTAAATTGTTTGCCACATTTTTGTTCTCTATTAATCAATATCAATTATGCAGAACTGCAAATATTGAGGCCCTCCTGCAATTATTTAGACTGAAAACATTTTGTAAGTAGGTAGTAAGGGCCAAGCAACATGGGTTTTTCTGTACTTTATTTAAATGGAATGTAGAATGGAATGCAGATGTTTTCTGCCTTAGCAACCAAATCTCTGTAACTTTGTAATGCAAGATAAGAATTTCTCAGGCTGAAGTAACAAAGGGTTATTCAGCTGTATGTACTAACTGTTTGAATTGCTTACAATTGTACCTTTTTATAATGGACTCAATGGGACTGTGACATCTTTTCCCAGGCTAACTATTATTTTTCTACATTTAATACAATGCTCATTCAAATGGCCATGCTTAATATTGTGAGATGTTTAGCAAATCATCCCTTTTTGGGATGTAACTGGGCAGAATGATTTCTTCCATCCAATCAACTTTTCTTTTGTATTTCTTTCCACTGTACTAAGTATAAAAGAGATCCCATGCTTTGCCCCAGGTTGCCTCTTTTTGAACAAAAAAGTCTCTCTTTACTAGATTATTCTAATAAATTGAATAAAAAGAACTTCTGACTTTGTTACTTATCAGGGAGAAGTGTGTCCAGGAAGAATCTATGACTAATTTGGCCATCAGTGGTATCGCTAGAGGAATAGAAGCAGTGGTAGGATTCAAATTTTTTACTACCGGTTCTGTGGGCGTGGTGTGGCTTGGTGGGCATGGCAGGAGAAGGATACTATAAAATCTCCATTAGCTCCCCACTCCAGGGGAAAGTTACTACAAAATCCCAATTCCCTCCTGATCAGCTGGAACTTGGGAGGCAGAGAATAGATGTGGTTGGGGCCAGTCAGATGTGGTATTTACCGGTGCTCCAAACTACTCAAAATTTCCTCTACCGGTTCTCCAGAACTGACAGCAGTCAGACCCTACTGAATACCATCTCTGGATAGAAATTAATAGAGGCAAAGTTATCATATGCCCTATAATCTATGTCCCCAAGCAACCATCCAATGTTTTCAAGTGGGAACTTACTGTCAGCCTCCGCTTTGCTGCTGCTTCGGCTGCCATTGAAATGGGGAGGGGGGGCATGGTATTTGGGAGGGGACTGAATGTTGTCAGTTCTGGAGNGAAGGAAGGAAGGAAGGAAGGAAGGATGGAAGGAAGGAAGGAAGGAAGGAAGGAAACATTCTGGTGTTTGTAGCCTAATCTTAAGTGCCCTGTTTACAGAAACTGCCTCTCCGGTTAACCCTTATGACATTATAACAGCTAAGGTGAAGTGCCCATCAACCTGAGTGATGTTGACTGGCCATACCCAACCAGTCATATGACCACTGAGCCATGCCTACCCAGCTGGTCATTAGGACAGAGAACCGGGTGTTAAATTATTATTATCACCACTGACCTGAATGCCCCCTCTGTAGCTAACTTATTCTTTACAAAATTCTTCACTGAAAAGAAAGAAAGTTTGTTGGAGAAATGTTACCTTAAACGGTTGTAGTTCTGGAGATTCAGCCACTTTATCTGCCAAAACTTTTCTCAAATTGGATCTTCTGGCTAGCATGCTGTGCAAAGAATGAGCCACAGTATAAACCCCATTGTAGATGCTGTAGCTGTGCCCGTTTACCTGTAATTGAAACAGAGATTCCGGAAGGCTTCCCAGTCCTTCTTCCCCAGTGCATTCTTGGCTTCCCAATGATGACAGTCTTGAATCAGGAAAGAAACAGTCAAAAGCTTGCTCCCAAAAATGGTTTCGAAATCCATCTCTTTGCCCTGCATGAGGTTTTATGGACCGGAGAAATTCCTCGAATTCCAGATTTTCCCTGGAATGGATTTGAAAGGCAATGGCCCCATCATAAAACTGGAGGTTCCATTCCCTTTGGGTTCCTGTTAATGTAAAATCGATTTGGCTGGTGGTGATCCACACCTTGCTTAAAAATGCATTTCCCCGATTTGCAGCTTCCCATACAGATTTGAGAGCTGTCAACCAGGCTAACGTCAAAGATTCTCCATAGATGATGTAGGCGTTGGTTTTAACATCTGTGAAATGTGTATAAAACTCAGCCATGATATCATTAAATTCACCCAGGTCATCCAAACGCAATAACTTTGGAAATCTTTGTACAAAAGATAAACAGATTCCCTGCTGGAAAAACAAAAGCTCCAATTTCTGCAGAAAATGTTCTCCACTCTCAGTGTCCGCAGCAAAGAGCCCAATCCATTTCCATCCAAAATGCTGAAGCAATCGGATTATCCCGATATACTGAGGAACTTCATTTGGAGCCATAAAGTAAAGTGAAGATGATTGACTGGTATCAATTTCTCCCATAGGAAATGATCCATATGTCAGCTAAAAAACAACAACACCGAGCCATGAAGTTAAGGAGAGGTTTTTGTTTTGCTTATGCATTTTTATAGAACACTAGCTGATAAACCAGTGTTTATAGATGTTGAAGCGATTGTGTGACAGGGAGCCATTGAGAGGGGATTTCATCCCCACTATTCCCATGCCCATTATCCCTGCCCTCTCCCTTCTCCCTCCCATGCGCTCCTGTTTTTCACAGTCTACAATGGTACTTTGCCCCAAANCTGGAAATGAAATTGTTTATTAATGTACTACCAGAAAGTTATAGTCATTGTTAAAAAATGTTGTTTTTTTTTGCTATAAAATGGAATTTTGAGGAACTTCAAATCTCAGAGTTTTATTTTGTTGAGGGTGTTACTTAGAACCCTGACATTAACCTGAATCTCATTTTAAAACTTGAACAACTCCCTGAACTTTGGAGTGCTGTCCATGGTCCTGAGCCCCTAACACCAGCCCAGTGCCCAGTTATAACTACATAACACGAATGGTGGTTTGGAAAGTTGGAAGGAAGATTGAAAAGTTCTTAATTTTTCTTTGCTAACATCCTTCCCTTTGTATTAAAAAAAAAGAATGTAAACATAATTTAATTGTTTCGTTTGATTAGTTGGTGCCTGCTATTTAGTTCTGGCCTCAATACGATGATGAAGCATTTGGGGAAAAAGATACATCCCAATAAGCCAGCACTGGAGGACAAGATGGAGAAGATCTCCACAGCCACCATGGCTTTTCCTCTGGTGCTCAGATAAGTTGGAACAAAGGAGATCCACACACTGCAGAAGGCCAACATGCTAAAAGTGATGAACTTGGCTTCATTAAAACTGTCAGGTAAATTACGGGCAAAAAAAGCCACAATAAAGCTGGCAATGGCCAAAAAGCCCAGGTAGCATAGCACACAATAGAACATGAAGATGGAACCTTCATTGCATTGCAGAATCATGGTTTCTGTAAGGGAATTCATGTTTAACTCAGGGTATGGAGGAGATGTTACTAGCCATATAATGCAAAGACCTGCTTGAAGAAGAGAACAAGAGAGGACAATGGCAAGAGACAATCTTTTTCCTACCCATTTTCTCATTGAAGAACCTGGCTTAGTAGCCATGAAAGCTACAACCACGGTAACAGTTTTAGCTAATACACAAGAAACAGCAAGTGAGAAGATGATGCTGAATGCTGGTTGCCGGAAAAGACAGGTTACTCTCCCTGGCTGACCCAGGAATAACAAGGAAGAGATGAAGCAGAGTAAAAGGGCGATAAGGAGTGTGTAAGTGAGGTCCCGGTTGTTGGCCCTGACGATGGGGGTATCTCTACGCTTAAGGAAAATTCCAAGCACACTGGTTGTCATGAGGGAAAAGAAAACAGCAGCTGAAGCCAGACTGATCCCTAAAGGTTCTTCGAAGGACAGGAAACTCGTTGTTTTGTTGAGACATCGATCTTGCTCCATGCTTGGATACTGATCTTCAGGACACATGGAACAATCTTCTGTGTCTGGATTAAAAAAGAAACAGATGGAAACTCCTTGATGTCCTATTCACCACATTTGAATGTATGTTTTAGGCTATTGCTTGAAGAGTGATATTGATTCTCTCATTAGTTGTTTGTGCACCAGTGGTGGGTTCCTACTGGTTTGGACTGGTTCAGCCGAACCAGTAGTGGTCTGGCAGTTTGGGTCACTGGAACTGGCAGCGATCCAGGCCTACCATGCTCCCGAACCAGTTCCCTGGATAGTGCCATCAGCGGTGCAATCTTGTTTTTCAGTTCTGCATGTATGCAGAAAAAAAATTAATTGCACAAAT